ATTTTTACTCATCTAGAGGCATGTAACTTTAAGTATTCTTAATTATAGACTAAAATTTCCTGTTTTCATTTCCAAATGTTTGTACACTTCTGCAGATACAAATAATTCCAAATATGTTGATTTATTTATTCTAAACGAATACCGTTATGTCATATTTTGAAACTGAAATCAACGATGCTAAAACACACCTGATGTACACTTATTATATTAATATTTTTCCTCCTGAAATGTCGAATCCTTTTATCATTTTTTTAAAATAAATTAATACAGAATGTAATAATTTTTTTATCATAATTCTATCTTTAAGACAAGATAAGAGAGATAATTTTGTAAATTATAAATACCGATCGGAATGCAGATGTATTGTAGATTTTATGAAGATTGTGTCATTAACGTACAAATTATGCATAAAATGTACCGTCAATTACAAGTGTTTCCTTAAGTTTAACTGAAACACTTATTGGTACGTTCCTCTGCGCTCTTTTTTCTCTCATTTGTTTGTGGTTCGTTACCCTACTTGAAACCTTACCGGGTACGGTTGGGTTATGTCTGGGGTAGTATAGGTTATATGAATACATGAGAATAGGTTTTACAATAGAACCAAATACATGTGGTGTTTAAAATACCCATGTGAAAAACAACCACATTAATAAAATATACAAAAACAACGAACAGCGGAATTTCAAAGTGAATATATCTTTACGCTAGTAAATAAATCAATTTTTAATGTTTTTATAAACACCCGTACACAGTGAAATTACCTTATATAGATTTAAAGGTCATTTTTAAGAAAATACCGACGGTTTTTTTTTTGGGGGGGGGGGGAGGGGGTTGCATTTTTTTTCATTATATGATCTAAATAAAGCTGCAATCTCATTGGTCCAAACAGTAGTCAACAGAACTTTTTATAAAATCATATTCACTGGGTGTAGTATCATATTCACTGGCTGAATTGGATTTTCCCAGTCTAAAAATAGATTGAGACTCATATTCAATGATCATACACCGTAGACTGTTAATTACGCGTATTATTTAAAAATAATTATATGTTATATGAAAACGTGAGAATAGGTTCTACAATAGAACCAAATACATGTGGTGTTTAAAATACCTATGTGAAAAACAACCACATTAATAAAATATACAAAAACAACGAACAGCGGAATTTCAAAGTGAATATATCTTTACGCTAGTAAATAAATCAAATTTTAATGTTTTTATAAACACCCGTACACAGTGAAATTACCTAATATAGATTTTAAAGGTCATTTTTAAGAAAATTCCGACGGTTTTATTTTGGTGGGGAGGGGGTTGCATTTTTTTTCATTATATGATCTAAATAAAGCTGCAATCTCATTGGTCCAAACAGTAGTCAACAGAACTTTTTTATAAAATCATATTCACTGGGTGTAGTATCATATTCACTGGCTGAATTGGATTTTCCCAGTCTAAAAATAGATTGAGACTCATATTCAATAATCATACACCGTAGACTGTTAATGACGCGTGTTATTTAAAAATAGTTATATACACTTTGGTTATGGATCATCCTAGGAACTTAATTGGTCATGCCTTACTGATTTGATACTCCAGAATGATTACCAATTGGTATGAACTTAGAAGGCAAATGTTTAATTCAGTTCATAACGAATGTCTGTGTTCGTTTAAAAAAATTGGTAAGCAGAATAAGTTGAAAATATCATTTTACTAGCTTTGAAATTAATATAATATGTAGTGCATTCAATTGGCGTGATGTACTATTTTTCGAATGTGCCTTCCGACGGTTTTTTGGGGGGGCAAATGGAACAGCTATAGTGAATTAAAATTTTGTATGGAATACAATAAAATACTACTTTGTTTACATTTTGTTAGTTTTCTGACAATTTATTTCACAGTAATCGCTCCTTTCAAGTAAGAAGCATTTAACATTCTTTAAGATCATTATTTAAACATTTTCAAATGCATGTTAAAGAAGAGAAAAATGTGTCTAAGCTTCACAACAGTTTGCTTTACTGGGACAGGACACCCATAAGCTTCCATAGCTTCCTGCCAAATCTCAAATGTAAATATTGTTCGTCATAACGTATATATATAGAATAAAATATGTTTAAACCAAAACAGTGTGCTTAAATGTTATTACATTTATATTTTTTCTTTCTATGGTAAAAGCTCACCCCTTTTGCGAGGATTTGGACTATAATATACTTAGAAGTGACTTGCGTGAATTTTTTGAATAATGCTACTTATAAAATAATTTGTAGAAGGATAGTAGATTAATGAAAAGTTGTTTGCAAGATGATACAGTTATTGAATAGGTAAGCTACTACATCATTAATTACTACCGTATAAAGTTACCTTACCTTTTAATACAAATATAATGACATTGTAGTTAATGAAAATAGTTAAGTTCATCGTGAGTTAACAGATTCAATGTCAAGTACTTATTTTTATTCAGAATGAGCTTATTTGATTACGATGAAGACTCAATTTCTTAAAATTTAACAGAGTAGATCATTGCTCAGAGCATTCAATTAGGTCTGTCTGTTTGTACATAAGATTATCGGTTATCATGAACATAAATTAAAATAGAAGTTCCAGTAATAACAAAACAAAAATAAATTATCTTATCATATTCTGTTTAAATTAATGTACCACAACATTTTGTTCCTTTTTCCATTTTATCTTTTTCCTTTCATAAACTTTTAACTTTACCTGAACTCAGTCGAAATACCTGATAATAAATTATTAAACTAATTATCATTTAATGATCAAAGACTGAACACGGTTGTGAATGAGCTATAACACAGTCAATAAATTCATCAATTAATCAATTTCATAAAGTGTTTACAACGATTAAAGTCAACGTATAACTGAAAAAGTCAATGTTTTATTGCTGTTATGTTTAACTAACTGCAAGTCATTAGAAAACCATCTTGTTTTGTAAACTGGTATGGATTGGATATCTCAAATAAATGTTTCAACATTGTATATGTAGCTGTCTTACTTACTCATTATTTATAAAAGTGACTAGGCTTGCAATTAACAACATGTGGTAGTAAAATTTCGTGAAGGTTACACAAACCAACAGGATATTAGAAACAACATTATCAATGGTTGGTTTTGATATCAACCTATATTGACAACCTAAATAAATCATATCAACTGTTTGAATCTATAAAATCTATAAAAGTATTTCTGATTAATTATAGAATGACTGAATCATGTAAATATAGTCAATATATTACGTTAATATATACATATGTTTATTATACTTATTAGTTATTTTTGAGTCACTCAAGGTCGTTGTTTAGTTTTATTTATGATAGGTCTGTAAAGTTTATTATAGATGTTTCGACTCATTCTGAGAATCATGAGGTTATTTTTAGATACTAGCATGTTTTGCTGGCATTTATTCTGCTAATGAAAAAAAAGCCAGTATTGCTGCATAAAGAGGTCGCCTTACATGAATTGTGTTGTGATGTTGATGTTTTGGGGGGTTTTTTTTGTGTGTTTTTGTTTGCTAATTTGAGGAACTTAGGAAATTATGTAACTTAGAAAAGGGATAATAGATTATAAAATTAATTGAGGTTTTATGATATATGTTTTGGTATTGTTTTAGATTTATGTTTGATTGAGGTATAATGATATATGTTTTGGTATTGTTTTAGAATTATGTTTGATTGAGGGGTATTGTTTTAAAATTATGTTTGATTGAGGTATAATGATATATGTTTTGGTATTGTTTTAAAATTATGTTTGATTGAGGTATCATGATATATGTTTTGGTATTGTTTTAGAATTATGTTTGATTGAGGTATTATGATATATGTTTTGGTATTGTTTTAGAATTATGTTTGATTGAGGTATCATGATATATGTTTTGGTATTGTTTTAAAATTATGTTTGATTGAGGTATCATGATATATGTTTTGGTATTGTTTTGGAATTATGTTTGATTGAGGTATTATGATATATGTTTTGGTATTGTTTTAGAATTATGTTTGATTGAGGTATCATGATATATGTTTTGGTATTGTTTTAAAATTATGTTTGATTGAGGTATAATGTTATATATTTTGGTATTGTTTTAGAATTATGTTTGATTGAGGTATTATGATATATGTTTTGGTATTGTTTTAGAATTATGTTTGATTGAGATATTATGATATATGTTTTGGTATTGTTTTAAAATTATGTTTCATTGAGGTAATATAACAGTATATGTTTTGGCATTGTTTAAAATGCACTATATCGTCACAGTTATTTGATGATGTGATGTTTTTCCAGTACTTGAATGGTTGTATTGAACTGGAATTGTGCTAAAATGTAAAATGTCTGATTTACAGTTGTCATAGTTTCAACATTCTAGATAAGCGTTGTTATCATAGCTTTACAGTATAGTTAATTACATGACAATTATATGAGATATATTTGATACAATTAAGAACCAGTATGTATACAGTGATATAAAGGTATAAGTAAAGTAAGATATTGTTAGGTTATATGTTGAACATATCTTTCATAAGAATTGATTAATGTGGTTGAATAAATGGAATATTAGATCAACTGAGTAATGTCTAGCTTTTTGATGTATGTATTTTATGTCTGATTTGTTATATACTTCAATTTACATTACCAGTTATTTGTAGAATTAAAAGACATGCGATAAACCTTATTGGTTCCAGCACTTTTAAGTGTTGAAAATTGAGTACCGCTCAAGCCGGTGCTAAGGGGCATAAGGGATGTTGCACTTTTTTCATTTTCCCTCATTTACATACTCAATCAAATCGAGTTTGCAATTTTCATGTAATTTTGTTGTGACTCCAAGGGATCGCACTGTTTTCAGGTTTTTATTCAGTATATATATTTAATTTATATAATGTTTTATGTTGAAATCTTGTAAAGGTGATATCAAGATGTTGGTATTATGATACCTTTTGATATCATGAATAATTAAATCATATGATATTATGTATATATTTTCAGACCTACACAAACCTGCAATAAATTCCTGAGTAAGAAGCCAGGGTTTTTTGTATGTAAGAGCAAGTGAAATTGCTCTTTGCCTTACATACATTTTCTTGTTTTTAGACGCCCGGATTATTCTTTCAAAATGGATAATAGGTAAGCTTTTTTCTTTGCATGTATTTTTTTTAAATTTTCTTGAGTCTGTTTTCAATTTTCGTTCGATAAGGACATGTGTTTTATTTAAAGGGACCCAAGTGAAGTTTTGAAAGCCTAAAAACATAACATTTGAATTTCTTACATAAATGAGCTGGGACGCTTTAAACAAAAATATATGCAAAGATAGTAAAGAAATATACTTTGAAATAAATTGAAAATCGTATTTTCATAGCCCGATTTGAGTAAAACTAAAAAGCGTTTACACGCTTTTCATTTTGGGGCATTTTTTACAATTTGAAAAATTATTCTGGAAAAACGAAGTGCGCGAATGATCTAAAATTTTGCACAAAGATTAGTGGTCTAAACCTACATCCAATGGTACATTTATCTGGAAAAAATATTTTCAGTCCCATAAAAAACCTCATTGGAATCCCTTTAAAGCAAAATCTATTTAAACGAATTATAAAATGGTGTCATGCTGTCGCCTGCATTATTATACTATATCATCTGCTTAGATTTTAATTAATTGCAGTTTAATTAAACGGAATGAATGTATTTTTCTTTTTGCAGAGCACTTGTTAGTGCAGTACTTTTGTTAATTGGCATGTTTGGTACATCGGTGCAAAGAAGAGGTGATACAGGTAAACTTTGTAAAATGAATGACTAAATACCATGTCACTCATGGGTTTGTGAATAAAGTTCTATATGAATGTTTTAAAATGTAAAACTCACGTGCGTAAACTTTTAATTCCAAAAAGGCGTTCTATAACTAAACTAGTCTTTAGAATTATTTAGGTCATTAACCGCATTCTGCTATTTTGCTTCTACAATATATGTCTATGAAAAATTTTGAACAGGGAAGTTTCATTTGTAAACAATTAAGATTTTTGGCTCAGATAACACTGTAAAAGAGTAAAGTTATGCGGTGGAGGTAGTGAGTCACGTGTGAGTCACGTGTGAGATAGCACCGTTTTCCTCGGAATTCCATGTTGAACTCTTTCTTTGCTTCTTAGGTAGTTATGGGAAATAAGTATGTCATAATTAAATTGTAAACAAACAGACAAAGAATGTTTGGGGTTTGTTTTTAAATTGTAATCGTATAATTTGAAAACCTTACTTTTTGACATGTATAAAACGGATTTATACAATTCTCTGATACAAAATTGTATCTCTTTTTCATTTTCAAATATATCAGGTTACCTAATCATTGAGATTTGATAATAATTGATTTATTATAGATGAAACAATGATCCAAATTGCTTTGATATGATTCATGTTAAAAAAAACCCAATTGTTTCAATTAATTTCTAATATGGTTCAATTATAATTATGTATAAACAATTATTCAAATATACCATAGTATGATTCTATGATAAGTAAAATGTTAAATATTGCAAGATATTTGATATGGTATGTTTCATATTGAAAATACTTCAAAGATAATACACACCAAATGCTGCTGTATTGGGAGATATGGGTTGGAAACCAATATTTGTAAAACAGTGGGGTGCTGTTACAAGGCAGTATTGTAGATTTTTAAAGATGCATGACTCTAGATTAAATAAAAAAGTTTTTGAATGGGTTAAATTGTCATCTAATACAAGATGTAAAACCGGAATATTTCGTATAATGGAAATGTACAGAAAAATTGGAATGTTTAATATAGATAATTTACATAGATGTACTAAAACTGTTGTAGACACTTTAGAAAATAAGCTGTTACAGATTGAAATTGAGAAATGGAAGCAAACTGTAAACAGAGTTGATTCAGTAAGAGGTAATGGTTGTAATAAGTTGAGATCTTACAGACTTATAAAGTCTCATTTTGTAACTGAACACTATGTTAAAGAACCACTTCCTTTTCATTTTCGAAGTGCTATGGCAAAATTTAGATGCGGTGTGGCACCGATTAGATTAGAAACTGGGCGGTATGAAAATCTTAATGTACATGACAGAACTTATTTCAATTGTTTAAACTGTATTGAAGATGAAGAACATGTTTTACTGAAATGTCCATTGTACACCTCCATAAGAGAGGAACTATACACACAGAGTAGAAGAGTTTTTAATGGGTTTGATAATTTATCTGATAAGGAGAAATTTTGTATATTATTCACTGATGTAAACATAGTTAAATATACAGCCAAAGCCTGTTTTAACATTTTAAAGGAAAGAAAAATTTTACTGTACTGTAAATAAAATAAATGTCTTTTTAATAGTACAGTGTTTATTTTAACATTTGAATTGTATTAGTAGTAGTTGTGGGTATTTAAGATAGAGTGTTGTGGATCTTACAGATTGAATTTATTTTATTATTATACATTTTAGTATTTTAATTCTCTTAAATTTCATTAGAATTGTTATACAACAGACTAGTGAATTGTTTTATTGACTTTTAGACACATTAGTAGGAATATGAAAACTTAAAATGATAGATCCACAACATTCCCAATTCATTTATTATAAGTATGTATAGTATATAATCATATAAGTATGTAAATATGATCTTTTATTATATTTACCTATAGATGTAAGCTTTGCTTACACGTCTCTTATAATTCTATACTGAATGGCATATGTACTTTTACCAGTTTTATTCTTTTTTATTGTGATATATATAATGTACATGTGATGAGACGTAAATAAAATATTTGAATTGAATTGAATTGAAGATAATTTTAAATGATACAGTTTTTAAAAAAAGACATTAATTATTCTAAGATGCTAAAATTAATTTGAGTATGAGATTATGAGAGTTCTGCAAAACTATATAAACGTCATGATTATGCAATGAAAAGTGACGTTACAGACGTGCAGTATTATGAAATATTTTATTGAAATTTGCTTTTTTGTAAAAAAATAAATAAGATATGTAAAAAAAACGTTATGAATTTTAATGTTAACAGACAAATAAATTTTCCCATTTTTCTTCTAAACTACATGGAGGTCCGCTATGCTCTCCCTTATTTAGATTATATGTATATATCCTTAAAACATATGCATGTGCAATTCTTTAATTTTTGTTTTTAGTGCATATATTGTGTTATTATGCACTTGATTACCCTTTCCGACATCTTATTATCATTATGTCTTTCAGATGACATTGTGTCATATTCTATGAGACAGGGATATAAATATGATACCGAGATCAACTTCTTTGATTCAACATATGATGGTAACGTTAGCCAGAACTACCTTCACGATGGGCTTGGAAAGTTAACCGATGGGAAAATCGGGAACACACACTTTATGAAAGGAGACGAATGGATAGGCTGGAAAAATGATACATTTATCGACACGGGTCCGGTTGAAATCATATTCAAATTCAATACAGTTCGAAACATTTCCTCTGTCATGTTATTTTGTAACAATTATTTTTCGAAACACATCAGTGTGTTTAAAAAAGCGGTTATCCAATACAGTATTGGTGGGGAATATTTCAAACAGGGAAAAACGTTCTACTTTATACGTGACAGATTAGTAGAATATGCACGATATGTTATTATTCAGTTGGATCATATTATTGCAAAATATATATTATTAGAACTTTATTTTGATACCAAATGGATTTTAATCAGTGAGGTGAAGTTTGAATCTAGTAAGTATTTTTTTCTCGTCTGTTGTAACATTTGTGCTTAGTCAGCTAGTTGTAATATAAATGATCCCCATTATGTTTCCTTTCTAATATTTTAGTTTTTTCAAAACTTTTGGACCTTTGTATGAGAAGCTCATATAAAACGTCGATCTTTGCAAAATTTGGTCCTTAAGCAAAGTTTTCATAATTCCATGTAAAAAATGTTGGTTAGACAATACATTCAAAATTTATGTAAATTGGTTAGAGATATAACGAATTACTGGTGCATCGTGATACAGTGTGTCCTTGATTTATTAAGCGGAATGTTCTCAGCGGATTGTACCTTGAAATCATTGTATACTTTGCAATGCAATACACATTTAACCTTGTAATACAGCGATGCATCGGACAAGTATTGCAACACAACTACATTTTTAAAGACCAAAACATAAAAGGAAGAGCCAAATGAAACTTTTAACATGCGATTGAAAGCCTTTCCGATTTCATGAAGTGCGGTTTTCTTATTATATTATTTTATATATTTGTTTCATTTTTATTGATTTATTTTGTTATATTTTTACTTTTATAATAATAATTTATCTTATACTTAACATTTTTTATGTTTTTGTCTTGTAATGACTCATAACCTATGTTCACATAATTACAAAAGAATTTGTAAATACGTAACGTTTCAAGAATTAAATATCGCGATATGTATCGTTGAAGAAAAGGCAAAAAATAGCCCTAGAAGTGATCAATTTAATGGCAATTGAGGTGTGGCTTTATACAAATAAGACACCAGCGTTTATGATAATTAATTAAGCATTAGATTAGATTTAAATATCATATTTACTTATTGTTGTGAAGATTTTGGAATGAGAAGAAATAAGACTGTACAGGCATTGCCAGAAATATTATTTATAGGTTCCAACAGAACACGATTCTTTGAAAGTTATATTCCTGTCATGTAACGTAGCATTTTTTTTCTTCAAAATAACAGAACCAGCATTTGGAAACTATACTAATGAATTACCTCCCCCGACTCCTTCAGTTTCCACAAGAACAGTTGAACAAGCTGGCAAAACTGAGGGCCAAGAAACGGAGCCTGATCCAAACAACAGTGGTAAATAAAAAATATCTTTAAATTTTTTTAACTGCGACAATAAGTTAAACGGGATATTTCCCGAGTTTTCGGAAAAAAACTAGTTTAGTTTAGACTGAATTTTATTTTAGTTCAACTGTGTAGGATGCCCACACTCACGAATCCGTGCCTGGAACCAACCAATACTGAGCAATAAGTGTAAAGTTTCTTGCTCATTGAAACAGTTGCTTGCCCCTGACAGAGTTTAAACCCACACGACTAGAGATTAGATTAAGAATCTAAAATGTATGAGTATATGACGAGTAAATATTTGTCGTATAATTAATTATACACTTGATTGCCCTATCTATTTGATAGGGGAATCGTGTGTAGCATGTAAGGATATTGCTTTTTTGACTTCTTATTATCATAATGTCTTTCAGATGACATCGTGTCATATTCTATGAGACAGGGAGATAAATATGATACCGAGATCGACTTCTTTGATTCAACATATGATGGTAACGTTAGCCAGAACTACCTTCACGATGGGCTTGGAAAGTTAACCGATGGGGAAAAAGGAAACACAGTCTTTGAAAAAGGACACGAGTGGGTAGGCTGGAAAAATGATACATTAATCGACCCGGGTCCGGTTGAAATCATATTCAAATTCAATACAGTTCGAAACTTTTCGTATGTCAAATTATTTTGTAATAATTATTTTACCAAAGGCATCAGAGTGTTTCAAAAAGCGGTTATCCAATACAGTATTGGTGGGAAATATTTCAAACAGGGAAAAACATTTAACTTTATACGTGACAAATATATAGAATATGCACGATATGTTGTTATTCAGTTGGATCATATTATTGCAAAATATATAAAATTAGAACTCTATTTTGATGCCAAATGGATTTTAATCAGTGAGGTGAAGTTTGAATCTAGTAAGTATTTTTTCTCGTCTGTTGTAATATTCGTGCTTAGTCAGCTAGTTGTAATATAAATGCTCCCCATTATGTTTATTTTCTAATATTTTACGTATTTTCAGACATGTACGATAAAACATTTGGACCTTTGTATGAAAGCGCCTTTAAATAGAAAGCAACGTCCATCTTTGCTAAATTTGGTCTTTAAGCAAAATTTTCATAATTCCATGTAAAAAAATGTTGGTTAGACAATACATTCAGAATTTATGTAAATTGGTTAGAGGTGTAAAGAATTGTCGGTGTATCGTTTCTTTATGATGAATGTATTAAGCGAAAAGATATTGTAAATTGCAGTATTTGTGTACATCGCCATGTAATACGCATTTCACTTTATAATACAACGATGCATCGAACAAGTATTGCAATACAATAAAAAAAATTAAAGACCAAAATATTAATGAAACTTTAAGGATGTGGAGGCCTTGATTAATTATCCCCCGCCGAAAAGGCGGCGGGGGATATAGAAATAGTCACCGTCCGTCCTTCCGTCCGACATTTTTGTCCGGAGCATATCTCAAAAAGAATTTGAGGTATCAACTTGAAACTTCATAGGTCGATAGAACTCATTGAGGAGGAGTGCAGTGCACAAGAATAATAACCCTACCGTGCATAATTTTTGAGTTATTGCCCTTTGCTATTTTTCAAAATTAATTTTTGTCCAGAGCATTACTCAAAAAGCTTTTGAGATATCAACATGAAACTTCATAGGTGCATAGATCTCACTCAGGAGGTATGCAGTGCACAAGATTGATAACTCTACCTTTCATAATTTTTGAGTTATTGCCCTTTGTTATTTTTCATACTTAATTTTTCATGTGAGTCGAGCATAACTCAAAAGTGTTTGAGATGTCAACATGAAATGTCATAGGTGGATAGATCTTATTGAGGAGGATTGCTGTGCACAAGAATGATTTTGCTGTATCATTTTTGAGTAATTTCCCTTTGTTCCTTTTAATACTATTTTGTCCGGAGCATATCTCAAAAAGAATTTGAGGTATCAACTTGAAACTTCATCGGTTGATGGATCTCATTAAGGAGGAGTGCAGTGCACAAGAATGATAACTCTTCCTTGCATAATTTTTGAGTTATTGCCCTTTGTTATTTTTCAAAAATAATTTTTGTCCAGAGCATTACTCAAAAAGCATTTGAGATATCAACATGAAACTTCAGAGGTGCACAGATCTCACTCAGGAAGTGTGCAGTGCATAAGAATGATAACTCCACCTTTTACAATTTTTGAGTTATTGCCCTTTGTTATTTTTAATACTTAATTTTTCATCTGAGTCGAGCATAACTCAAAAGTGTTTGAGATTTCAACATGAAATGTCATAGGTGGATAGATCTTATTGAGGAGGAATGCTGTGCGCAAGAATGATAACTCTTCGCTGTATCATTTTTGAGTTATTGCCCTTTGTTCTTTTTCATACTATTTTGTCCGGAGCATATCTCAAAAAGTAGTTGAGGTATCAACTTGAAACTTCATAGGTGGATTGATCTCATTGAGGAGGAGTGCAGTGCACAAGAATGATAACTCTTCCTTGCATAATTTTTGAGTTATTGCCCTTTGTTATTTTTCAAAATTAATTTTTGTCCAGAACATAACTTAAAAAGCATTTGAGATATCAACATTAAACTTCATTGGTGCATAGATCTCACTCAGGAGATGTACAGTGCACAAGAATGATAACTCTACCTTTCATATTTTTTGAGTTATTGCCCTTTTTTATTTTTAATACTTAATTTTTCACCTTAGTCGAGCATAAATCAAAAGTGTTTAAGATGTCAACATGAAGTGTCATAGGTGGATAGATCTTATTGAGGAGAAATGCTGTGCACAAGAATGAAAACTCTTCCTTATACATTTTTTGAGTTATTGCCCTTTGTTCTTTTTCATAATATTTTGTCCGGAGCATATCTCAAAAAGTATTTGAGGTATCAACTTGAAACTTCATAGGTGGATGTATCTCATTGAGGAGGAGTGCAGTGCACAAGAATGATAACTTTATTCTGCATAATATTTTAGTTATTGCCCTTTGTTATTTTTCAAAATTATTTTTTGTCTAGAGCATAACTCAAAAGGCCTTTGAGATATCAACATGAAACTTCATAGGTGCATTTATTGCCCTTATTTATTTTCAGCCATCAGTATTCACATTGGTTTCAAATCTGTAATCACTTCAGCCATTTAGTTTTCATTACCAAAAGACATATTAAAATTAAATTATTCTGCTCTACTACATATACATTCTTCCAATGAGCAAACCCAATCGGCGGGTATGGCCATGTTGACATGGCTCTTGTTTTATCTTGTAATGACTAATGACCTATGTTCACATAATCATAGAACCACTTATTGTTGTAACGATTAATTAATTGTGAAATTTACTTCATATCCACACCCTATATCGCATAATGGATCGTATTTCATTTATTTATAACTGCAAATCGGCTCTTACTCGGCAGGGTTAGGGTTAGGGTTAGTGTAGCCGCTTTTTCATGAAGAAACCAGTGCTGATAGTGAAAATTGTGATTGGCATATTTTAATTAGCCAGGCCAGGTGTTTCTAAAAAGGCTGATAACACTGTAGCAATGTGAGGATACATTCAAATTTATTACATAGATAATACCGTGGAGCTCAGCTCGCAGTCAGTTAAACTTTTTGATATCCTTTTAAATCTCAGAAAAAAATTCAATTATTAAAATTGCTCACTGTTAAAATTGCATTAACAATCCTAGGTATTGTTGAAAAACCCCCCGCCATTGTTTAATGCCCCAGATTAAGTAATTGGACCCCATCCTTTGTTTGTACGGGCCGCGGACTGCTGGGAAAAAAAAAAAAATGGTTATGCTAATTAAAGAGTGACACTTTTATATTTTTATTAATCTGTATATCGAGTTGTAAGAGCCGATTTGCAGTTATATGGGTACGAGTTCGATAAGACTCCCTACGGTCGTCTTAATACGAACTCTTACCCATACATATCGCATAATGGATCGTTTTTCATTTATTTCTACAACAGAATTTGCAAATACGTAACGTTAATCGCGATATGTATCGTTGAAGAAAAGGCAAAAAACAGCCCTAGTAGTGATCAATTTCATGACAATTGATGTGTGGCTTTTATACAAATAAGACACCAGCGTTTATGATAATTAATTAAGCATTAGATTAGATTTAAATATTATATTAACTTATTGCTGTGAAGATTTTGGAATGAGAAGAAATAAGGCTGTACAAGCATTGCCAGAAATATTATTAAGAGGTCCCAACAGAACACAATTCTTTGAAAGTTATATTCCTGTCAGATAACGTTATTTTTTGTATTGTTGTATTGTTTTTGTTTTTCTTCTTTAATAACGAACAGCATTAGGAAACTTTACTAATGAATTACCTCCCCCGACTTCCTCCCCGTTTCCCCCCAACAAACAGTTAAACAAGCTGGCAAAATGAGGGCCAAGAAACGGAGCCTGACCCAAAACAACAGTGGTAAATATATAAATATCTTTTTAAATGTTTGTTACTGTTACAATTTAGTTTATCGGGAAAAATTTCCCGAGTTTTTCGGGGGGGGGATTTAGTTTTTAAGTTTTTATAACTGAATTTTATTTTAGTTCAGCTGTTGTAGGATCCCCACACTCTTCGAAACCGTGCCTGGAACCAACCAATACTGACAATAGTTGTAAAGTTTTTGCTTTTTGGAAAACAGCTACATCGCCCTAAAAATACAGGAAAAAAATATTAGTTTTAAGGTGTCTAAAATCTTAAGTATAGACGTGTAAGTGTAAATGTATCGTTAATAAATTATAACGAATATAAAACGGCCGAGGGTAAAATGCCAGTTCAAGGGTTGGAATAAACCTATTTCAACCCGACAGCCATGTTGTTATTATTTTATTATACCAAAAGAACATACAACTCTTAACAATATTATAAGAAATAAAGTAAATACAAACATCATCATTTTTAATTTAAAAATTTACGGTGGGCATTAACAAGACGCTTAATGTTTGCCTAAAGATAGAAAAAAAATTAGTCAAAGGGAATTAACTCAGATATTATTAAATACGGAGGTATGTAGGTGTTTTCTCCCTTACACCCTAAAAATATATTGTAAGAAAGTCTACTTAAACTTTAAAAAAAGCTGAATATGGAGTTATGCAAGAGTTATGTGCCACAGGGTGATATAAGAAATATTCCCTTAGGAATATATCCTAGGAGGGTGATATTCAATCAGAATACATAAAAGGCCTATGGAATAAAGAAGATAAGAATCCCTAAAGAAAACCCAACACGTTAGCGCAATGCAAAATTTGGCCTGTTCTGGACGGTACTGTCAAGAAAAAACCCC